TCTGTCATCTGCACTCTCTCCTGTTTCTTCATTGACTCTAATCAGTCTTATGTTATTCTTCTTTGCATCATCTAGCAGCTGCTGGATTGATTTCTCATGTTCCCTTATAATTTTGAAGCAATTTTTCTTTTCCTGGTCACTAATTGCAATCTTATCTTCTATATCTGAAATTCTGTCCTCACATTGGCTCATTCTGCTGTGTAGACTTTCAATGGAGTTTTTCATGTCCTGGAAATCTATTTGCATCTGTTTTATGGATTCCATTTGTTTCCTATGTTGGGATTCCATCATGTTCCTCAGCTCCTCTCTAGATTTATTAATCATGTCTTGCACTAGGGGCACAATTTCTCCTGTTATTTCTGATTTCATTTTTTCCAGATCCCCTTTTGTTGCCAGTTGAGTGGGTCCAGGTGGTTGAGTATCAGAGTGTTCCATCTCATTTCCCTTTGGGGTTGCTGTAGGTGATCTGGAAGTCTGGTTTTTAGACTTATTTATGTGTTTTTTCATTTTGACTGGGCGGGGGGGCTGTTGGTGCCTGCACGGATTACCTCCTCTGAGCTGGGAGAGGTGGGACAGGGGCTGGGAGCAGAAGTAGGGATGGTGACCCAAAAGCCCTTTCCTGTGGGCTGGGAGCAGCGGGAGGGATGGTGGCCGGGAAGCCCCTTCCTCTGGACCAGGAGCAGTGGGATGGTGGCTCAGAAGCCCCTACGTCTGGGCCGGGAGCGGTGGGAGGGATGGTGGCCCGGAAGCCCCTTCCTCTGGGCCAGGAGCAGTGGGACAGAAGGTGGCCCAAGAGCCCCTTCCTCTGGGCCAGGAGCAGCAGACCACAGGACTCAGTACCATGGTCTGGTGGTCCGGTGTCCTCTGCGTCTTTGTAGTGTGGAACCAGGTGGCTGTACAGAGGAGTGGGGGGGGGGGTCCAGTGGATTGTTACCGGGGCACGGGCTGTTTCGGCGTGTTCCTTGCAACTCGGGACCTCAGTAGGACGTCCGCAGACCTGCCTGTCTGTCTGCAGCGGGCTGATTCGGCATGTTCCACTCCACTCGTGACCTCGGTAGGGTGTCCCGCCCTATGGTATTTTTAATTAAAGAGGAGCCTTATTGTGGTACAGTGAAATACTTCAATCTTTTGCTTCATGGTTTATGCTTCTATAGTAATTCCCCCCCCCCCCCTTTTTTTGCGTGTGTGTGTAGCTGGGGATTGAACCCAGGGCTTCGCACATAGTCAGAAAGAGCTCTACCACTGAGCTACAACCCTAGTCCTGTGGTCATGCTTTGTGATGGAAATTCTCACCCCACATTTGTAGAAAGAGTCTTCCAGTGTTTTTTCTATCTTTCATGTATCGGTAGTTAATGTATCTGGAGTTCCTCTTTGTATATAGCCATGTGGGGTACATGACAACTTTTCACTAAGCCAGTTTCCTCAACACCGTCTTCTAAATAATTTATATCTAATTGGTTTGTGGTTATATGCCTCATTTTTTAGTCTACTTCTGAGTCCTGCATTCTGTCTCATTGTTTCTAGAGCAGTACCATATCATTTGTATTACTATGTAGTAATGACACAGTATCTGCCAGGGCAAGGCCCCCTCTGTTTGCTCTTGGTTTTCAAAATTGACTTAATTTAAAATTTCAAAATTTCAAATTATGTTTTTCCTTATATATTTCATAAGTTAATTGAATTCTTTAAAATTTTAGTTTCTGCACATTTCAGTTATACCAAAACATTGAACTCAGGGATTACACTAATATTTTTGCAATGTAAAATCATACTATCCATGGTGTGTCCAATGCTTCACTTTTTCTGTCTTCTTTTATGCTCTTAAATAAAGTTTTAGAATTTTCTCCATAAAGTTCTTGCAAGGTGTTAGGTTAATTTCTGGATATTGTGCTTGTTTTTTTTTTTTTTTTTGGTGGTGGTGGTACTTGAGATTGAACCCAAAGCCTTCACACTGAGCTATATGCCCAGTCCTTTTTAAATTTTTTATTTTGTGTTCCTAAGTTACCCAGGCTGGGCTCCAACATGAAGTCTTCCTGCCTCAGCTTCCCAGAGCACTATGATTATAGGTATTATCACCATGCTCGATTCTGGACATTGTACTTTAAAGTTTTATTGCAATTATGAATGGTCTATTATTGTCTAGTTCCTCCTTGCTTGCAGCTGATGTAAATTATTGATTTTTATAAATTGATCTTGCACTTGGCAACCATGCTTAACTAACTTATGACTTCTAAATAGTTTGTTGATTTTCTTGGTTTATTTTAATGTTGATGATCATATCATTTGCAAACATAACAGGCAGGAAGATTTCAGGGGTGCTTCCCAGTATGCTTACAGTCCGCATTTAATGGTGTTCACTAGCTGAGGCCCCCATCTGGTGCCCCGATTTTGACAAATGAGTGTCTCTCATGGTCCTAAGGCATTGGTCTTCTGTACCTTCACACTGTGGAAATGAGTCCCTTATTTCCCCCTTTGAATAATAAATTGTCCAGTTCCCAGCCCATGGAAGAGCAATGAGTCTCTCAACACACTGTTGAGTGGGGTTGTGAGCGTGTCATAGAAGGGGCAGCCATTTTTTGGGTTCAAAAGAACATTGCATATGATGATGTAGAACAGTGGATCAATGTAGGCTTTCAAATCAGACTTGGGTTTGCTTCTTATGTCTGCCCTGGGTACATGGAGCAAGTGGTACAGCTTCCTGGAGTCTTGTTTCAACATTTGTAAAGAGAAGACAAGGTAAGCCTATAGGTAAAGTGCCAAAGAGTAGACAAAGGAAAAGTGGCTTTTCTTCGCACTGCAACACTGACCACCGATACTGGTTCCTTCCTGGCACTGAGGTTTGTTTCTGTCTTGTTCAAGAACTTTGCAGTCTTCAGATGTAATTGAATCTTAGCAACTGCAGCTGGATCATATTCCATGTGCCTTCCCACTCCAATAGTTCAAGCTCTAAGTCTGGCTACAGATGATGGTCCAGTCTCACTCTTGTTAACAGGGCAAGGCCCAGATCCAAGATATGTGTGACGCAGGGGATGTTCCAGGGAGGTAACTGGTGAGTGTTTGCATACCTGCTAGGGAGGAACTTCAGGTTTTGGAATAAAGACAAGTGGGACACCAGGCAAGTGGGGCACTCTTTCCCCGTGACTTGGTGTCCTGGCACTTTGCCTATATATTGTATGGTGTTTGAGTGTAGCAGAATAAGCCAGTGGCCTGGCTGGTTCTAACAGAGAACTTTATTATAGCTAAGAACAACTCAGCTAGCCACACCTTGTCACCTACCAATGGTGGTATCTCAAAGGGATAATTTAAGTCAGCAATAAAAGTGAACTGTGTACCTACAGACACTTCAATAGCGCCTTCCGTTAGCAACAGATCTTTATGAGTTTCTGTGGTTCAATGACAGACCGTATTGAGTGTTTAAGCCCACCAGTGGCAGACTGCCTGCCTTTCTTCTAACCAGTTAAAGAGGGGGATGGGTGAGACAAGAAAAGGGTGTGATAAGAGAAGGGAAAGGGAGGTGGAAGTATCTGTGTCACATTAGCATCCCTGAGAGGGTGTGAAGACGCACAGCCTGTAGGGACAGAGAAACTGGCAGCTGACCAGGGACGTGGGATGGTGGTGGTATTTAATGTTGCATAAGCAATGTGGGTTTTAGTTGGCAGTGTGCTCCACCCCATTCAACAATGTGATGTGACTGCTACAAACAACTATTTTGAGCTATGTTAACAGAAGCATAGGACGTAGAAAGTGGTGGCATTCTCTCCTCTCTGCATTTGACAGGCCACCCTTTCGTTCCTGAGCATCACATTTAAGAGAGCTCAAGACAAGCAAGGATGAACCCTAAAGAGTCCTTCAACACGCTGGTGAGTGGGGGCTGTGAGCGTGTCATAGAAGGGGCAGCCCAAAGGACACAGAATACTTGTCCTGGATATCTGGGGTTAGACTTGATCTGAGCTCTTAGAGTGCAAACAGAACCCAAAGAGGAGATCAGTGAGGCTGGACTCCAGCTCCCAAAGAAGAAGGAAATTCCCCAAAAGGCTGGTCCAAGATGAAACAGCTGGGAGTTCCTCATTAGGTAGTATTCAACCATGGACACTTGGTAGGAAGATGTCATAGGCAGGGTTCCAGCAATTGCAAAATTTTTTTCCCCCTGGAATCAATGGTTCCAATGGGAAAAGGTGTTCGGTGTGCGGTGCACACTCCCTCCGCTCTTGCAGAGACACGGAGAGACCTTTGTTCATTCAGCATCTGTTACTGCCAGACCTTTGAAGATGGCACAGTAGTGTGTGGAGGAGAGGAAGAGAGGGAGAGGGAGGGAGGGAGAGGGGAAGAAGGAGACAGAGAGGGAGGGGGAGGAGGGATACTAAGTCCTGACAACTCACTGCTACTAACCTGTCAGGGTCTCCTCAGGGCTCTTCATTAAGGGGACTCCTTAAGTGCCAACTCTTTTCTTTCCACTGCTTGACTGAGAACCAGGATGTCCGTGTGCATAAGTCTGTTAGGCGTCACAGTTTTACCACTGTTTGGTTCTGGGGCGGTGGGGGTGTGGAGGCGGATGAGGCAGGAGGAGAGTAGGGGACATACTGCGGGACAACCCCTTTCCCCCCGCCACCTTGCCTTGTGTAGTGGCTCCCCGTGAGTACAGCAACCGAGTAGGCTTTTTACAGCAAGGGCAGCACATGGGCGACTGATGGATCTACCCGGGCCTCGAACAGCTACACTGAAGCTAAACTCGCAGTCCCTTCCCGAGCGCAGGTGGGAGCCCTGCAAGCCCGAGCTGGAAGTGAGCTCGGGAGCCAGACGGGGCCAGCTAAGGGCCTTCAAGAGGAGGGCAGCGCGGGCCCCGGGCCGCCGCCGCACGACCGCGGGGCTCCTCTGACGGCCGGCGGCGCAGCAGCTGCAGCGCCTGTCGAGGGGCGCGGGGGGGGGAGGAGGGCGTGGCGCGTGCGCGGGGCCGGGGCCTGCGCGCTGGCCGGGCGGCTGCACTGCGCGCGCGCCGACCCGCGTGGACCCGGGGAGGTCGGCGGCGGCGCGGGAGACGTAACCGCGGCGGGAGGGAGCGCGCTCGGCCTTTCCTCCGCGCCCGCGCCCCGGCGTCCCACTCGGCGCTCGGAGAGGACCCGGACCAGGCAGGTGGGGCCGGGCGGCGGGCCAGGCCGGGCGGCCGCGAGGGGTTCCAGGCGCCCCCCGTGGGCCGCGAGTCCGAGGCCTCCCGGGGCGGCCGGGTGCGGTTGTCGCCCCGACGCCTTGGCCCGTACTCTGGGGTAGGTGGGAGCCGCTATCCGTGCGGCCGCGCACCCCCTGCACCCCACAGCCCGCGGACCCGGGCGCCGCTCCGGGCACCGGGCCTCCTCGCGTTTCGCACTTGTCTCTTCTTGCTTGAGTCGTGGAGAAACCATTTATTTGCCTGTGGGTATTCAAAGCTGAACCTTGACTCGCCTCCCTGACCCTTGCGGCCCGAGATCCCTTCAGTCTGACTCCTTTGCGTTGGGAAGAGAAGTTGCAAGAACACTTGGTTTGGGACCTGTCCGATCGCTGTGGATTAGATTGATGGGTTTGTAGCGTTCTGTTGAGTAAATGTGAGGTTGTTCACTTCGTCCGGAGACTCCATAGGCCACTTGGATCTCAACTCTGTTACAGTGTTTTCATATGTAAGCATCGGAGAGTGATACTCGGATGGCTTAATAACGTGGTGGGTGTTCCAGGCTAGACGGTGGCTACATTGTAGCATGTCATAGTATAAAACAGTGCCTTTGAGATGTTTCAGTAAAGAAACCCTTCCTTCAGGAACATCCAACACATTAACTGTACTTCACTTTCACTTTGACGTTTGTCGCTTAGCCTCCTCCTGCAGAGTGTGAAGTTGTTTAGCAGAAGAGCAGGTGGTGCAGGACGTGTAGCAACTATGGATGGAAAGCAGAGACCTGAAAGTGGCAGAAATCTAGCTTTCTTCATTTTTAAGATTTAAGATGATCCTGGTTCCATTTTATCTTGCTAACAATAAACGTGATGCCTTTTTAGTGTGTGTGTCTTTGAGGGGGGGATGCTTTCATTTCATATGGACTATCTGGGTTGTAAGATTGAATCTCAGAAGCAATGAATGCATTTATTTCTGTTTTGTAGATGATTTAGCACTATTTGTAGGATTTATTTCCAACATTTCAAGTTCATTAGACACAGTCCCTCTAGCAAGGCCTATTAAAAAGTGATATTATGTAGTGTCTTATTGCTTGCAACAACTCAAATTTTGAAAATTATACTAGTAATCTTAATTTATAGGGTCAGTTCACTCTGTCTCCCTGTTTAAACCTACATGCATCTGGTTACGTTTAGGGTTACTGTTCCTTTGTTAATTATGTATAATTATGCAGTTGTGGCCTTGTTTAGTGCATTAGCCTTTTCATTTGTTTGTCTCAGACATCTGTGTATTGTTTTCATGTCTAGAGAGTGAGCTGCACTTTTTCCTTCTGTGCCTTTCCGTAGAACTGTTGTTTTTTTTTTTTGGTACCGGGGATGGAACTCAGGTCCTTGCGCTTGCCGGGCAGGCGGTGGAACCACTAAGCTAAATCCCGGCCCTCAGTAGAACTCTCTTAAGTGGAAGGAAGTGTTCTTTCTGTACCACAGAAGTATGGTAGCCCTAGCCAACCTACAACTTGTGCTTTTGAGCACTTGATCTAAAACTAGAGCAATGGAGAACTGTGTTTTAAATTTAATTTAAATAGCCACATATGGCTAGTGGCTATGTGGTTGGACACCACAGCTTTTCGTCATTAGTGCCCCAGGAATCTCTTGTTTTGTGTCTGTGCTCTCACAGTGCCCAGCTGTCCTTGGTCACAGCACTCATTGCTGTTGTATGCTAGTGGCAGCTTTGCAGTGCTAGGCTGTAATCTACATGAGGGCCAGGGCCTGTTTTCTTTACCCAGTATTCCCAGGACTTAGTAAGAAACAAATATTACTTGAATGCATACCTGAATTTGAGAACAGGTATCTTACCTTTGATGTTCTCTCTAGGGCCTAGGGCTATGTGTCTAATGCTGTCAATGCCTGTTTAATGATTGAACTGTATTTTGTAGGTAGCAAATAAAAAGATCTTTAGAGTTATGCTTTTTACGTGTTTACTTGGCTTAGTTTTGTTTTTGAATCTCCTGAAATACTCATATACTTTCAAAACTTCTTTAATGAGTGAGCAGATGTTTTGTAGGTAGCAAATAAAAGAGTTGTTGTAGTTGTGCTTTTTACGTGCTTATTTCATTAGTCTTGTTTTGAAATCTTGTGAAAATAAAGATTCATGCCAAATTACTATGGGAAATTGAACGAAAGTGCCTCACGATTCCAACCCATGTGGGCACATGGGTGTAGCTTGGGTCTCGAGGATGCTTTCTTGAGCCATATCCCAGGTAAATCTGAAGGAATCTCCTGGGTTTGGTGAGGCTCTTGGGGCCCTTCTACCCCTGAACCACACTGACAAAGTTGGTGGACACTTCTTACCACTTCTGTGTTGTGGCAGAACCAGGGATCCTTGAAAATCATGAGATTTTAGAGCCTTGTTGCCACCTGCTTTTGCTCAGAGGTAACTTGGGTTGAGGGAGTAGGACAGAATTCCTATATAATTAAAAGTGTGGGGAATTTGCTTCTAGTTTTTTTAACTATTACTGTAGCTATACTCAGTTAATTAGGTCTGACTTTTTATCCTAGGCTTACATGGTTTGGTCAGTTTTCACCGGTTAACTATAGGAGGATTTGGAATGAAAAAATTCATCCTAGATCAGTATACCTCTATATCCGACAGAGATTCCAGATGTTACAGGTCTTCAGATCCAGGAGTTCCTTTAGGGAAGCACTGCGAGACTATATGAAAGTTTGTAAGTGTGTAGTTTTCTTTGTGGATGAAAGGTAGAATGTTTGTTTGTTTTATGAAGGAAAAGAAATGGAACTAAGGAAAAATGCCATGAAGATGTAAAATACAAAGAATGTTCACTACATTGGTCTGATAATATTGTAATTTCTCTGGCTTGAAGTATGTGAAATAATGAAATTGATTACATCTCATTGGGTGGATTATTTTTCCTCTTTGGACCTAGGATTTGAATATTTGTTAAACATGAGCGGGACATAGTTTTGCTGCTGTGGTAACTGGTAGTTGTGGAAGATGCATTTCTTATCTTTAAGGATCTCAGCAATCTATAAGGAAATTTAAGATGATCTGGGAATCACATTTTAAACATATTTTTGAACGAGACATCCCATCCTTTGAAAGGGAAGTAATTTGGTGGCATTTCTTAACTGATTTAGAAAGATAACCACTTTTCCTGAAGAATTAAAGAGTATTAAAAATACTTCTGAGGGGCTGGGGATTTAGCTCAGTGGTTTCATTGCCTGCTGCCCAAGTGCAAGGACCTGAGTTCGATCCCCAGTACCAAAAAAAAACCCCAAAAACCTTCTGAGTTTCAAAGTGTGAATATAGTTAATCTCCTGAAACACAACTTTAAGCACGCCACTCCCTTTTAAAACATCAGTAGCTCCCCAGTGCTCATGGAATTGGGTGGTTCAGTCTTCAGTCACGTATTTAAGAACTCCTCAGGATGGCCCCCCCAATCTACTTCAATCTTATCTCTTACTGCTTTTCCAGCCGTATTCCAGGTTTCCAGGTTTCCAACTGGTGTCCCTCTCACATGCTTGCCTTTTTAACTTCTCCCCTGAGTTTCCCTACTGATCTTTTGAAACTTACTGGTGGCCACACCTTTTTCAGTGTATCACTTCTGATTTTTGGAAGCTCCTCTAGCACATTTTCTGGTACTCATGTGATTGAATACATTCCTTATATTCATAATCATATTTTCAGTGATTTTCTTAGTACATTATAAACTAGCTAACATACATGGGCCATCTGTTACTCATTTTTGTAATCTCTGAAATGAGGGTAGTGTTTTGTACATAGTGATTCCTTAATAGGTACTTACTAAACTTTCTGTTCCTTTCTTTTTAAAAAGCCTCTTACCCTGTGTAGAATATTGCCCAGATTTACTCCTAAGAAAGTAAAGGCCAGCAAGTAAGAATCCTGAATTAGAGAGAGGCTCTGTTTGCGAAGGTCACCACTCCTGACCTTGTCGCCATTCTTTGACCTTGTCATTTTCTTATTTATGTGGCAAGGTGAATGTTACAATGATTCAGAATATTGGGGGCAAGTAATTTTAGTAGCCAAGAAAATTAGAAAAGCTGTAAAATAATAACAAGTGGAATAGGTTATTTAATATATACCTGTCCATGTAAATGCATGCTCCTTGAGGAAAAAGAAAGTAGCTTATTCTGACCAGTTCTTGCTAAAAACTGTATGTTTTACAAAAACATGAATCAAATTGGGAAGAAACCAGTTAACTCAGAGAAGTGACAGTTTCCTTGGAGGATGGGTGGATGGTAAAGGTGATTATTAGTATAGGATTGGTTAACCAAGTATAATTGAGCACACATTGAGTAATAGCTAGCATGATCTGCTACTAGATTAAGCTATCATTAACTAGTTTTCTCTATTCTTACTATTGAAAATAATTAAAATAATTTAATTTTGTTTTATAATGTGATTTTCTGCTTATATTTAAAAATAGACATAAGGATTCATAATATTTCAGACTTAAAAGATCTGATTCTAAAGAACTATGAAGTTTTTAGTTTCATAAGTTTAGTTTAACTTAGAATTTTCTCTGCTTTTTATGTTATTTCTGAGATGTAGACTAGGGGATAGTACAAATTAAAAAAAAATTTAAGCACTGAGTTTTTTTGGGCTAAAGAGGTAGTATGAGTGATAGAGTTTAAAAGGTATGGCCTTCCATCCTCTACTAAGATAGAATAAACAGACCCTGTTACATCGTTACTGGAGGAATCTCGGTAAGTTCTTGTACTTGCAGAAGTGGATGATTAATTTTCAGTAAAATTTTATGGGCCATCAGAAAATAATGGAAACAGTCTAAAGTAGATTATTTTCATGTGATGAGTACATGGCACAGCTGCTGGATGAGAAATGATAGGACCTGTGTCAACTTTCTGAGAAGTTAGACCAGGCTACAGGGCCAATATGCCCTCCTTTGTTACCTAAGAGGTGGCACCTGTTCAGATTAGCTCAGCATTTTATACATTTGCACCTGTTACACTGCATTACTCCTGCGTTTTGTCTAGAGAGACTAATTATATTGTTGATTATATAAGAAACAATGAGAGGCAGCACATGTTTCTTAGACAAGTTTGTCCAGAGGAATTTTTTTCTCTGTCATGAGAGATTCTTGAAGGTTGCAGTATGTTAGACATTAGAAGACCTGTAGGATTTTTTAATTGAAGTAATCATTGTAAGTTGCACATATAGAGAGTAGAAATGCTTTTTCCCATTTTCATTATAGGCGGCTTTCTAGAAGATGACCATAGAGGACCTTCCAGATTTTCCATTAGAAGGGAATCCTTTGCTTGGAAGATACCCATTTTTATTTCCAGGTTCTGAAACACCAGTTATCTTTTCCATTTCTGCAGCACCAATGCCTTCAGACTGTGGTATGTTAAGTGCCTGTTTTCTCTGAATGGATGACTTGACTTGTGTCTTATGCCCTCTTTACACTGATGTTTTTTTATGAAACCATTTGCTATGGGTTTTATAAAGTTGTTAAAGTTTTCCTTTTTCAGAAATACAATTGCTTATTGCATTTTCTGCCTCTTAAGCTAAATGGTTTGTATCTGCTGTCAGCATTTTTATTATGTAAAAGTGTTAATTTTAAGCACCATGATGGATTTAGAGGATTTTATTTTTAGAATGTACTGATACTTAGATATTTGGCATTCTTCTGCTATTGATGTATTTATTTGGTTAAATATGCTGACTTGCTAAAAAGCCATGAATTTAGGCCTAGGTGGTAAGAGACCTTTGCCTGGAATGTGGCATGAGATCAGTTCCTATTTAAATTGGTCCATATAATTCTCCTTTGTAAAATGTAAATTTGGAAACATTCTAGTTTTTGAATATTTTGACTTATTTCCCTAGGAACATATTTTGTCAGATAATTGATAATGTGTAAAAGAGGTAAACTTGATTTCGAATTAAGAGTTTTTCAGGTAAAGGGCTGGGGATTTTGCTCAGTGGCACCGTGCCTTCCTTGCAAGTGTGAGGTCCTAAGTTTGATCCCCGGTACCCCCAAAAAAGTTTTTCAGGTAAAATGTTGGGTTGTCATTTCAAATCATCTTCAGAGATAGGGATAATATAATTTTAAAATATTAATAGATATAAAGTTATTGGGTTGGGTATTTGTCTTTTTATTCATACTCATTCTGGTACGTACTCATCTCCACATGTTCTACTTTTTTGTATTCAGATTTTTATAGTTTACCTGTAGCAGTCATCAAAGTATTACCTACATACTAAATACCAAAGTATCTTAATCCTAGGAGTTATTTGCAACTTTTACAGAAGTTGACTGGGTTTATTTTCAGATATCATAAAGTCAGCTATGTGTGGGGGGCTTGAACTAAACCACACTGTACATTGCTTATAGCACTTATTTTGTCTTGAATTAGAATTCTTATTTCCTTTCCTAGACTATAGGTTTTTAGAATGAGCAGCAGTCATGTTTTATTTTTGCTTATCTCATAAAGACTAATAGTCATTTGTTGAGGTTAGTTGCTCAATGTTTCTTGGATAAATATATTGAATGAAAGGTGGTAATGGATACTGATCCCTTTGTATGGCTGAAATTAAGCATGGTGTAGCACCTTGGAGTGACACAGTCTTTGAATCTGTGTGGGCGTGTAGTTCAGATTTCCCCACACAGCTCCTAGTATAGAAACTCCATTTGCAGAATCTCTGACAGATGGCCATTTAGCCACTTGTATCTTCAATAATGAGAAACTAATAAAATAGTCAATTTCATTGTTAAAAAGCTTCAGTTATAATAAAGTCATTATTTATTTATTTATTTATTTATTCATTTATTTTGGTACCAGGGATCCAACTCGGGACCTTATGCTTGTGAGGCAGGTGGCGGCACTACTGAGCTAAATCCCTGGCCCTAAAGTTATTTTTGAATATAACTCAAAATATGTCTTCATGATCCACCTGGAGACCATAATGCTAAGTGAAATAAATCAGACACATGAGCTTAAATGTTGCATGGTTTGTTTTATATGAGAAACACAAAGTATAAATAAATTAAAGAGCAAAATAAACAATAGATAATAGGAAACAGGGAGATAGAGCTTTTGGAAAAGGGAAGTAGACCAAGGGGTGGGGGAAGTAGGGAAGAGGATGGGGATGAATAAAGAATTAGGATGTATTATGTACATGTACCAACTCTCCAAGGTGAATAATGGTTATGAACTCCAAACATGCAATAATAAAAAAAGTCAAAAAATGTCTTGCTGAAGTTTTAGCCAATTTGATATGTGGAAAAACCATTTCTTTTTTTTTTCCATTAAGTTTATTGGTACATTTTAGGTATACAATACAGTTGCATTCATCATTAGGATCTTGTACCTTTACATGATGTATCTTGGTTTTTATTTTTATCCCCTTCCCCTGCCCTCTCTTCACCCCCTCCACCCTTCCCTATTTGCAAAGACTTTGTTTCCATTTTTTTTTCCTTTTCTCATGTTTTTTCTTTTCCCTTCTTTCCTTTCCCCTACCCCTCCCACTTCCCCTACTCCTTTAGACCTTTTCTTCCTATTACACAATATCAATTATACATTTTAAAAATTGCAATATCAAGATCTAGAAGACATTACCACAGATTTTACAGAATTTAAAAGGATATAGAAAGCATATTACAAAAAACTTTTTTGAAATAAATTTGCCACCTCCTATGAAGTACCTTGGAAGACAAATTAATGAAACTGACTCTGGAAGAAATATAAAATTTGAATAGCACCTATTAAAGAAAGTATATTCGTAGCTTGAAAACCTACCTATATGACAACAGGCTCATACACATTTTAACTGATGAACTGTATCAAACATTTAAAGCAGAAAAAAGGAACACTTCTCCCCTCATTTTAGGAAATCAACATTGTGCTAATCCTAAAACTGGATAAAGATAATAGAAGAAAAAAGTATGAACATAGATAAAAATTTGTTTAACAAAAACTATTAGAAGTCAGATCTGGGAGTATGTAGAAAGTGGTTTTATTATAAGGATCGCAGTGTTGGTTCAGCATTGGAAGATCCACCCCCAAAAGTCATCATTTTAATAGAAGAAATATGATCCTGTCAGTAGTTACAGAAAAAGTATTGGACTAAATTCTACAGCTGTTCATGGTAAAAGCTATCAGGAGTCTAGAAGTAGAACAGAACCTTCTCAACAGATAAAAGACATATACTCCATACTTTCAGCAAAAATGCCTTATATGAATGGAAATGATACAATGCTTTCTCCCTGAGGAGGAGAACAAGGGCAGATATGCCTACTCTTCATCTGTCCATCAAACTTTGAAACATAGGCCCAAACCAAAATAGTCTGGTAATAAAAAGAAACAAATAGCATAGGATTGGCAAGGTAGAAGTAAAATCTTTATATGTAGATGAAGTGATCATCTACAGAGAAAATACTAAGAAATCTCTAGGAACCCCTAGAACTTGTATTTGAATTTAGCAGGATTAGAAAACACAAGATATATATAAAAATTCAGGTCTATGTATACTTGCTGTAAATGAGGAATTGGATATTGAAATTTAAAAGTTATGTAGGAGTAAAAGGACCTAGAAAAGTAAAAAGAAAAAAAAAACAGAGTTGGAAGACATTTATTACCTAATTTTAAGACTTCCTCTAAAGCTACAGTAATGAAGGAAATGTTGGCATAAGGAAAAACATAGATCAATGGAATAAAACAGAGAATCTAGAAATAAAACCATACATATATGGTCCACTGATTTTTGAAAGATTATTTAACATTAATATTTTATAAAACATAAACTCAACTCAAGAGCAGAGGAAAGGATAGTATTTTCAACAAATGGTACTAGAATGCCTAGTATCCATATGTAAAAGAGTAACCTCAGCCCTTTATTTCCATACATAAATATAACTTTATGAACCTAAATATGAAAGACTAAAACTATAAAACTTTAAGAAGAAATTATAAGGGAAAATGTTCATGAACTTAGGGTAGGCAAGAATTTCCTAGGATACAAAAA